TATCCTTCTGCAAGGTCACCCCAAAATTTATATCCTCCCCCAGCTTGCACCACTGGCAATAAATCTCACAGTGTTTGGCCACAGAAACATATATATATAGCTTATAATTATTGTATCGTCTTGTTCTATTGCAGGGACATTCCCCAACAGCAGGCAAAAAACTAGACATGTAAATTTTGTTTCATTTTGAATTGATATTTCTATGAATTTCATTAAAGCAGACCTTTACCCCTTTGGTTAAAAATCACATCCGCATACTGCTTTACAAGCCAATATAAAATTGTCTTACATTCATTAGCTAAACAAACATATTTTCATTTTGCTTACAATATCTTGTTTTCTACTACCTTATTCTTTTTGGCAAAAGTGATGTAATGTGCCCAAGCGATGCATCCTAGGAAGGTTACATCAGCAGAGCATTGCTGGGAAATCTCATCTGTAATCTCATAAGATCTCAGGGAAAGGCATTTTCCTCCCCTGAGATAATGTGCACGGTCACATATCCTAGTCACATATGACAGAGTTCCAGGAAGTAAATGGAGATATATTAATCTGCCCTTAGTAAAAATGGCCACTGTCAGAAGAATGGGGAGGAAAAGAGAAATAAGGTATACAAAAAATACAAAGCCGGCAATTATCTAGAAGTATGTGTTTCTAGGTTGCCATTACTAAACATTTCACGGGGTGTCTTAGTTGTTTTTTTGAAGATATGGGAAAAGTTCCTCTTTAAATTTGGACATTCAGATGCATACAAATTTCCGAATTTGAATCCGTCCAACTACAAACAAATCTGAATGTTCATTTTAATGAATTTTGTTCAAAACAAAACTAAATCGGACAGATGACTGTTCTCTGGCCAATCAGATTTTTTTGGGATGTTGGGGGTTGCATTACAGGCATGGCCATGTGACTTCCTGTTGTGGATCATTCTGAAATGAAAATTTGGACAGATACAAAATCCGAATAATGAACCGAATCGAATTTCGAATCCGAAATCCGTAAAATGGAAGAAATAAAAATCCAAATCGAACCCAAACAAAACAGTTGTTTAACATCAGGTAACAAAATGGAAAAAGATGCAAAATAAAGAATATTATACTATACAAAATGTAACACGAACACACAGTAAACAAGAAGGCAGAACGGCAATGACTCGGTCCCATATCTTAAGTAGAATCAACTTCAATATATTATGTTTCTACAATAAGTCAATATATTACTCAATAATCATAATAATGAAGCATAGAACCAATATTAATTATCATAATTTATCATTTGCCTTAAAATACAAATGTGGTCAATATTTTTTAAAAAATGACATATACATTATGGTGCCGTTTGTCACTAACACTGAAACATTAGTCATCCTGTTATAGTCCTAGATGGACCTGGAGTTTGAGACAAATTAAAGCCAAACTCCATTGAATACTTTTTAGACAGTTACAACAACATTATTTTTTTCTTTTAGAAAAAAAGGTTTAAGCTATATTAAAAAAAATTAAAAAATCTACCCGTTATAAGCAGTGTTTTATGGTTTGTCCCAACCCCTGTAATTGCCAGTTTTGCTAGACAGCTTGGTCTGCTACATGTTTTTATTTTGCCTATAGTTACAATTTAAGAAATGTTCTAAGTTGTTACAGGTCCACCAAACATTTAAACTATGAATGTTCAGCTGTCATATTCCACTGCAGATTTCAATATGCTTAGGTGTTTTAGAGCGCTTCCAGTATTCCTTCCAAATAATTAAATAAAGGATTGAAATACATACATGTGATCTAGTATACATTTTATAATATTTGTAGCTCTGTTCAGGTACTCCTGTGAGTCACATACTCCTGCCACACTGCCCAGCCAGGATAGAGACAGCACTTTTCACAATTGCAGCCCACACTGTTGTCTTCTTACTCATTGGACTGTAAAACACCTTCAGAAGACTGCGCATGGTCTTGTTTTACTGTCCTCCCCATGTAAACTGCCTAAACACCTCCCGTATAGCCCCCAGTGCCTGACACATGTTAGATGTCATGGATTGAACTGGAGCTTGGTTGGCCTAGACTGCATAGCCATTCAAATTACATGAAGATACAATAAAGATAGATTTATTGAGTCACTCTAACAGTATTTAAAAATAAATAAATAAACAATGTATTGGCTGCACTAAATGTGACCATGCACCTTACAATTATCTGGAGATTTTTGCTGTGTTTTTGTCCAAAAATCTGCCAGTTGATTGGAAGTGAACAACCTCAAGTACTGTACAACTGGCAGATTTTTGTCTTTCAAGCAGGCTAGAAAATCTTTGTCTAGTTGGACGAAAATTGACAGGTTAGTGGCGTTGTTGTACAACAATCTCAAGATGCAAACTGCTCATGCTCAAATGAAAATCTGTCCTTTCGAGCAATGAAAATTGGCCAAGTGGTGGTGCTAACAATCGTTAATTGCAAACTACATTGGTCTGTGCATGATGGGCTAGGTGTAAGAAAATTGAACGAGGGTGAGATGTCTGCACAAAAAAAGTTGTACAATGGTTGTAAGGTGTATGGCCACCCTAAGAAATAGATTTATATTGTCCCCTATAGAAAATAGGTTCTATATGGTTGTAAAATGGATATTAGAGGCTTAATACTTGTATTTTAAATATTTCTCTATTCAATTTTGTATTTGACTGGAACACTACTCATGTATACCTAGACAGTATATAAAACTCCACTTCACCTTCCTCAGCTAGAACCAACCTTTGCAGTATACACATCCTTCCAGTTTGTGGATTTTGGAAAGGCGTAGAGAGCAGGAGCGGCTGATGATAAAGTCCACGATGTGAACCAAGAGCACAACATCCAGAATATATTAGACCTCTTCATATCCATTCCTCAGACTGGGAAAGGTCACTCCGCTGTGGTCTTAAAAAAAACCTCAAGTGCATCTTTTATAATGCAGACATGTTTATGAAGACCCAGCCAGGATGATTCATGTCTGATAGAGCACACTAATTACAAAGCTGAAAATTCTAAGAGTGGAGTAAAACAATAATTGAAGCCGGCACAGTAATGATGTGTTCAGATAGGGAGGCCTTAGGTTTTTGTGCCTGGAGAATACCATTCCAAGGCTTAGACATGCCAATTCAGGTCTTGGCTATACACAAGCAATGCACAAATCACAATTTCACAAATCAAAGCTGTAGGATTTGGGAGTATGAAGACCTGATATCTGTAAGAAGCATCAGCCATTTAGAGAAAACTGATCACAGGGACACAACTGGGGGAGACAAACTGAGCACGCCAGCACGGATCTTCTTCTGGGCTTGGTGTGGTCAAAAGGCGGCATTGGCAGGATCATTAGGTGTTTGTTGTTAAATACGACTATTCCTGCAAAAGAAGCAACATGTACACCATTTTTTATTTAAAGAGGAAGGCATTACTAGAATATCAGTAGTAAGGTGTACATAAACAGTAAGGGCCGGTTCCAGGGGCGTCCTGCAGCCTGGTATCACCCGGAGCGGAGACCGGGTGACACCCCGCCGTGATGTCATTGTGCATGCGCGTGGCGTCACCGCGCATGCACGGCCATTTAATTAATGCCTGCCGGTGGCCATCTTGGTGATAAACGCCGGAAGAGAGAGGAGGGGAAGTTCACCCGCAGAATGAAGTATGCCGGGCCCCCTCCTCTCTCCTGACACTGTTGGGCTCTCGGTCCATGACCGAGTGCCCGACTTTTTAGTGGTAATGCCCTCCAATGGTGTCACCCGGGTGCGGACCACACCTCCCTTGTGACGCCACTGGCCGATTCACACCACAAAGAGTGCGTTCCAGAGCGCTCGGCCTCTGCAGCGCATTGGAACGCAACCCAGCCGGCTCCCTGCAGGAGGGGGCGTGTCGGTGCATTGAAGTCAATGGCACCGCAGCCATGCCCCCCCGCCCGCAGTGCGGTCGCCCTCACCCGAGCGCGTGGCACATTAGTGCCTGTGGTCCGGTCCAGTGTGATCTGCAAAAATAGTGCATGGAGCATGGACGCAGGGAGACGGCCGGGTTGCGTTCCAGTGCATTTCAGAGCCTGAACACTCTGGAACGCACTCTTTGTGAACCGGCCCTGAGAGGGATCTGCATTGTTGGTACAGTATTTTTTTTGGTTCCATTTGCTGCAGGGGTGCAGATGTTGTGTTGTCTGTGTTCTTGCTGGGGAGGTTCACAAAGAGTGCTCTGTGTTCTTGCTGGGGAGGTTCACAGAAAGTGATGGGAAGTCCATATGCCTGAGATGTCACTGAATGTAACATTTATTCGATATAATTTGTACCCACATAGAAATTAAATCAGTCCACGTGCACAATAGTGCAATAATTAACAACTTGATCCTACGAAAAATTGACTCCATTTATGAATGAGAGATTCTTGAAGGGGTTAGTTATTATTAAACGTGAATAATAATATGGCATGTCATGTCTCATTAATTATGTGTTTTAGGATTCTTATGCTTCTCGATTCCATGTAGTGATGGGAATGCCGTGCAGACGGCATTCGCCTGCAAATGGCTGGGCAAGTGATTTATAAATCATCCCCTAAGTATTTGAGTTCCTGAGTGTGCACTTCTGCTATTATGAGTGATTTCCATTCTTTGTTGGAGCCATTATTTCATTTACATTATCAACAATAAAACAAAAGTTGGCAGAATATGCAAAGGAAGGAGGAAAAGTGGACAGGAACGGTACTGAGAATTATGTCAGGAAGATCTCCTTGGTGTATCCAATACATATAAAACATCACTGTCAGGTGGACTGATCTCTTTAAAGCAGCCCTGCCCGAATACAAGGTTTTCCAAAATGGGTAGTGAGCCTTATTTTAAACATTATGCAATTAGACACATTACAGAGAAATATGTATTTAATGTTCTAATACAACAATCTTTTACACATATTATAATGCAATAGTTTGGTGTTACATTTGGTGGTGGAAGTACCAATAGTAGTGCAGACAGAGAAGATACAGCTATACAGATATGTTCCAATTATAATCTTTGCACTGCACCCTCTGCTGTGATAGGCTGACATTAGTTACATCACATACAACATATCATGTAAAAAATCCTTTGTTCAGTCACAGTTCAGCCATCGATAGCTGGCAAGGGAACGGAGAACAATCTGCCTCCTTGGGCTGTACTCAATCTGGTTTGCGCCATTAGAGAAATACACGTAATCTAAAAACATAAATAGGGAATTAGAATAAATATGTTTCCTGGATCTTTTCAGACATATTTCCAATTTCCCTAAGAATTTTACAAAGTATTGAGATTCTAGGGACTTTATAAGTGAATAAGCACGGTTGGTGGTTAGTAAATGTGTACTGAATTCACTGCACAGAAATGTTCAGCCCAAGAACTATCGACTAAGTACAAATAGGTGCCAACATGCTAAATATATATATATAGATATATCTATACATATAGATATATCTATATATATATAGATGCTGGCAATAGCACTTTTGTCAGCCTGTATTTATCAGTGACATTGCCATACCCATAAAGAAGTGAATGTCTATTTTAAAACAGTCAACACAGTGAATGTTTTTAAGTATAATACAAATTTGTACATGTGGTTAGCATACAAAGTGTTTTCTTGTAAGGATAACCTCCACCCCACCCCCACCCCCACCTGATGCTATAATCACAAAAGGCAAATGTGGGCCACCTGCCACGCTAATAACAGCCTGCATGTCCATCAGGTTCAAAGATGTGCTGTAATACGAGCCCCTCAAAGAAAACCTTTTCATGAGCACCAGTGCCCTGTGTTGAGCACTAATCCCTTAGCCCCCCTCTCCCCTGGTCCAAGGAAGAGGTGCTGGCAGAAGGGGAGAAATGTGCAAACTTCCTGCCCCCCATGAGGACAAGTAGGTTGGGACCAACTCCCAGGTTAACCAGTAAAGATTAATTGGTGATGGTTTTGTAAATAGAAAAAATATATATATATTTTAAAAAATTAAAAATTTTTTGTTTTAATGCTGAAGCTGTGTGAAATACATTATGCACAACATGATGCACAGTGGGTCTCCAGATGGAGTCATTGCGTTTTCTTTGTAGCAATTTCTTTGCAACAATATTCAGGGCCAGTTGTTCCAGAAGTCATGATATGGGGGCAGTATGATTTTTGGTTGTTTAAGGCAGCCTGGGCACCTACAGAGCCATAGGACACATATACAAAAACTCCAGATATGTATAGCCTAACCTTTTTTTGTTTTATTTTTGGATAGAGTAAGAAATGGTTGAAACTACTATCGGGTTATTTTTTTGCTCTCTGTGTCCTACTAGGGAGATTTCCCTTCACTTCCAGTTTTGGAATTCCCCCAAAGTGAGAATTCCCATCTAAGAACGTTGTCATTGGAACATTTGTCTGCATTGTTAGATTTACTTCCATGCTATCATGACCATTATAAAATTTAGGATTTCCCTCAATTTCTGTCCCCATTATATCCAAAACAAAAAAGCTTGCCTTTACATATACTTTAAAGAATGTTATGGGTGGTAATAAACCCAGGACCTAAATGCTGCAGGGCCAGAGTGCCACCACTGAATCACCATGCTGTAAATGTCCAACAGGTAGACGAAACAATCATTTGTTGGGGGAAATCTTTGTGGGGAAAAAAAATAATACAAGAAAATCCCCATAGGACTCAAAATAATGCTGGGTGTCTATAGACAATAATTAAAAGTAAATATTGGATGGATATAATACAGTATTACTTGTCACACATGCATCTCACTGTATTTATAAGATTACCTATATTTTGGAATGCAGACTCTACTTGGTTCCCGATTCCTGGAAAATTATCTTGTATCTTCTTTGGTGATTTGGAGTCCATTTTGTTTTTGGAATGATCAAAGCTGGACAAATCAACAAAACAATATCACTCTTATATATTGCAAAGCTTTTTCATTTTTACCTTACATGATAACTAGCTCAAAGATCAGAAACGTAATATATTTCAGCTTACCAGACCTTAGATTTGTTGGGTGCATAAGCTTTCTTTTTTTCAAGCAAATAACATTGTCAGCAAGTACAGAATATACCCGCTCATCTTGCCAGAAATACTGTGTCACATACAAAGTCACTTCCTCGGAGCTAAACTGAAAGCATAAAACAGTCTATTTTTTTTTCTGGAAGCTACTAATCTAATACTATGATACTGAGGAGTAAGCATAGTGACCTGGGGACAGGAAGTGTGTTGTTCACAGGAACACTAGGTGAAAATAAAGGAAAAAAACCTGAAAGATAAAAGCACCCACATCTAAGGATTGGAAAGCTGCAATATAAAACATTTTTGATTTTGGGTTTAGATACACTTTAAAGTGATATTAACCACCTGCTGTCCGGCCGTTGTAATTAAACAGACAGAAAGCGTCTTCTTGAGGGCGGGTGGGCGTTTTTAAACTAGGCGGCGGGCACGAGCGGGAAACCAGCTTTGAATGTAAACAGCCAGAGATGGCTGTTTACATACAAACGTTCGGGCGTCTGTAGATCGCTTGTAATATGCGGTCGCGTGTGCGCCCCCCCTCCGTCGCTGCTGGCAATCCCGGGCTCCGCTGTTCCCGGTGTGAGTCTGGGACCAGCACAGCAGCTCTGCGGCCGGAGATCAAACGGAGCTCAGTACACGAGCTCCGTTTGATCTCCTCCTCTCATCTTCGGAATGCAGGCAGTGATGTGTATTACATCACTGCCTGCATTCAGTGTCACTGTCCGGTACAGAAACCGGAGAGAAGCTGGTGAAGCAGGTCTCTGCTTCATCAGCTTCTCTGGGGGTCCCAAGGTGACATTAGGGGTCTTAAAGACCCCTGATGTCTCCATAAAGAGGACCTGTCACTGCAAATTGCCTATCACATAGGGAGCTTGTTTGCGCCCTATGTGATAGCAATAAAGTTCAGTGAAAAAAAAAGGTTTAAAAAATGTAAGTTACAAAAAAAATGAAAAAATTAAAAATCACATTTCAAAGCAATAAAAAAATAAATAAAGTCCCCCGCCCCCACATGCACACGCAAACATGCGTCCAGCCCGCCTGCGTGCGAAGACGCCGATTACATCCATTGCACCGCATATGTTACATATCGCCGCGAACGTCGGAGTGAGAGCAATAATTCTAGGGCCATTAATAACGGATAACACTAAACTGATGAGTGGTAAAAGCTTTTAAAGCGTCGGCTATGGTCAATTTTGAGTATGGTAGTTTTTTGCGATTTAACGGGTGCACGCAATTTTAAAGCTTGACATGTTTGGTGTCTATTTACCCGACGTGACCCCGTCTTTTATATTTTACCAAAAAATTGGGTAATAATAAATGTTTTATAACGTAGGGAAAACAGGTTTTTTTTCAAAATTTTTGGTACTTTTTTCATTATATAGTGAAAAAAAAACCGTAGTGGTGATTAAATGCCACCAAAAGAAAGCTCTACAGTATCTGTCCCCAAAAAATGGTATAAAATGAATTTCAGTACAGCGTTGCATGACGGAATAAATGTCAAAGTACCGCAGCGCTTGAATACTGAAAAATGGCCTGGACAGGAAGAGGGTATAAACACCCCGGTCAGCAAGTGGTTAAAGCTTTAGGGGTTTTTTTAATTTTTATTTTTATTTTTTTACCAGTGGGAGGCCGTCTATATTGCAGATCTGCAAGAGAGAGAATGGATTAAGATAAAAAACGCCAAGCCTTTCATACTACTTTAAAACCCATTTCCACTTTTGTGCCATGTAGCATTTGTGGTAATGTAGAGGTGCAGTGATAATGTATATGTGTGTACATTCTCATGACTCACATTGCTGGCTTTATTTATTTTTATCGACTTTTTATAAGGCCTGAGTCATACAAATTCAAAATCCCCGCCAAACGAAACGAAACGACGCGTATTTACGTTTATATGTGTGTAAACGTGGGGGTGGGGAACTTAAGAATTTTTTGGGGCTTTTTAAAACTTTTTTTATATGTGACTTATTTTTTTTAAACTTTTTTTATTTATATATATATTTTTTTTAACTTATTGTTATTGCTATAACGGCGGACGGCAACTGGTTAATTTACAGCAACTGCATATGCCTGCTTCATGTACATTCAGTGTACATTGCTGGCATATGTTTTTTTAAATATCTCCACAAAGCTGGACATAAAAGACATGGATGTGAAGAAGTATTTTCTATAGATGATCATTTCTGAAGCTGAGAGGTCCACTTGTATGGAAACTAGCAGATCTCCTATACCAGTCAACCAGAGTTAGGTAAACAACACATCTCCAAACCTCTTTTCCAGTGACGTGCAGTCCATTTGGTACTGACTAAGGCATTCCCCCTGCCTGTCTGAGCCCCACCCCCAGCCCGCCGATGCCCCGCCCCATCCCGCCATCCAACCCGGTCACCACGCTATGTGTGGAGAAGAGAGTAGACTCCCTGTCCCTTACTTGCTCGTCACTGGTGAGGCATCGAGATCGTTTTTTTTTTCTTTCTATTTTTTGATTGGACAGCTTGGACCAATAGCGCTTTGCCATTGGTCCAAACCATTCAAAGAGCTCAAGCCTCAAACACAAAGTAAGCTGCTAAAGTGGCTGTTGCAGCTCTTGCCTCACTATGTTAGATTACACAAGCAGTGGGGAACTACGCTGCTGTGTAACCTAACTTAGCTGTCAAAATCTGAACGAAGCGCCTCCTGTAATTAACAGGCAGTGCTCCGTCCATGACACAGCGGGGAGGATTTCCCCTCAAATTCACTAATCTAAGCGTTAATGCAGATACAATTATTTCTGTTGTGCATTCGCCAACTCACCTCCAATATTTGTCTTCCACGAAGAAAATGGCCTTTTTTTTATCCTTTAAAAACAGAGCAGCATCTATTTTCTTCACAGTTTTTGGAAATCCAAAGTTGCTGATGGGCCGAGGGTATCCCCAGAGCATTTTAAAGCCACTCGTAGCCCAATACTGCTGCCCTGTTAGAATAAGGGTGTTGTTAAGCCACCAGTTATTTAAAGAAAGTCCATAAGCGCAGGTAAGCTATAAATTATGCTAAAGGAAATTCTACACACCACATATATTACATTTAAAAAAATGTATATGTATTATATATATTACATTTTAAAACCAGCCAAATCCAGATTGCAGACAATGACAGCAACATTGCTTTTTCTGTTGAAAATGGAAAATGTATATTTATAGAATGTTGTATCTATAAAACATTCACAGAGCGAACATCTCTGTGTCGATGTCTGAGTTTTAAGGGGTTATTCACAAACCTGCCGAAGGCAGCCGAGTGAATAACCCGAGCCGAAGTGAAGTGAGACGAACAACGATCGGCTATTCACTCAGGCTCGGTACGGCTGATTTCAGCTGTACATCACCTGCTTTCAGGTGCACTTCGGTCAGTCGAACATGCTATGTTCAGCTGAGCCGAAGTGCAGAAGGATGTTGACTCAGCCGATCCAACATCTGGATCGGCTGAGCCGAAGCTCCGACAGCTCACTTGCTGCCGTTCGCCCCTATTCTCATAGGGGCAGAACGGCAGCGAGTGAATAGCATTCGGCTCGGCTATTCTGCTCAGTACCTACGTGGTACCGAGTAGAATAGAAAATCAATGAAAAAAGTTTTTTTTTTTTAAAGGTTGAAAAAAAGATTTGTAAAATGTAAATAAATAGTTTTAAAAAAATAAAGATTTTTTTGGCAAAAAAATAATTGGGCAGAGCTAGTAGTGTCAGCTGATGTCAGCTGGCCGGCACATGCTAGAGTCTTCTAGCAGGTCCCGGCCAATGAATAACAACTGGGCGGAGCCAGCCGTGGCGTCATGTCCGGCTCCGCCCAGTTGTTATTGTTTAAGGACAGTTCATCATCCCCAGGTCATTTGGGGATGCTGATCTGTCATTTCCAAATGAGCGGAGTCAGCCATGAGATCACGGCTGGCTCCGCCCAGCTGTCATTTGCGGGGCCAAAGGCCGGCCTTTGACAGGCCATCCACCCCGCTTCAGCTGACACTTCAGTTGAGCCGAAAATGTCATTGGCTCGGCTAAGCCCCTTGGCCGCCTTCGGCTGCTGTACGGGCTATAGTGAATAGCCTGTACAGCAGCCCTTCGGTTCTACTGAACCAAAGGGCTCTGGCCGCCGAAGGATCAGCCGAAGCTGCGGCTGGATCCTTCAGCTCCTTTGTGAATCGCCCCCTTAGATTTGTAGTGTATTATGGCCGCAAGATGGAGCTGAGGAGCATAAGATATTCCTATGCTCCTTGGCTCCATCTGGTGGTCATAATATGCTGCAAATTTAAAACTCATGTTTGCATAGCTGTTTGCTCTGCGATCTTTTTATAAGTACACCCCTAAGTGTCCACACAACAGGACAGGTTTCATCCTGGCTGTAATTAGCTTCATTGTGCTGCATAAAAAAAGCATACACAGCATTTTCAGCATTCAACAACTCAGGCAGCTTGTCCACAGCAATAAAACATAAACATTAAACCTAGCCTGTCTGGAGGCGAACTCCAGGCATATATGAAAATACTAGGAAAGATGTTATGTATTCATTTTAAATTACTAAATCTATTTTAAATGTAGCTAGTGTAACTGCCTCAATTCTGCTGCCCTCTACATTACTGCAGGACACCTGCTGTGCTGGACCAAAGATTTGACATTCCCAGAAGTGTCAAATTCAGAAGTTTCTTCCAGTCGTAGCGTCTCTGCAATACAACAGTGATTGGCGGTGAGGGCAGCAGGAAAGGTAGGTGTCAAAATTCAGTATTTTTTTGAAAGGGAGATCATTTTAATAATTTTAACTATTTTTATTTTAGCAAACTTTTAAGTGCCTTTCTAGCCAGGAAATGGAATTATGCTCAGATGCATAAAATAACAGTTGACCTGATCTGCAAAAAAAAAAAACCCTTCTCTCTCTATAGAGCCAGGTGCTCAGGTTTCCCAGAGGTGGCAGTTTGAGAAGAACCCAGCTATATACTCTTTGAAGTGCAACCACAACTGAAGTCAAATTGTTCCTAGTTCCTAAAGTATCTCAGTCATCAAGAGAACCCTTTTCTTCCCAAACTGGCTTTCCCAGAGCTCCACTTACAGGAGGTTGTCAGTATTGTTTTGTTATTCAACCAGTTGAATACCAGTTGTTTACCAACTGGGCTGAATTTGGCTATAAACCAATGAATCACTCACCTTTGAAGAGATAGACAACATCTCTAGCCGTAAACTCATAAGCTGCATCAACCCTTCCCACGTTTGGCCATACAGTGTTGATGGCGAAGGTGTCAACATTACGTGTTCTGGCATTTTTTCTCCAAAAAACCCTTGGATAGCAAAATAATAGTAATAAATAAAAACTGTTAAATAAATGAAAGATAGATAGATAGATAGATAGATAGATAGATAGATAGATATTCTTATGTTTATTAGTAACTTGCTCTTTTAGACAGAAGCATTTATTGGTTTGGTGATAAGTCCTAGCCTTGCTAAAGTAGTCATTCACAACAGAATCGCTTGCCTCTTTTATATACCTCATAGGCATATGGGGAGAATCCAGAATAAGCCAGGTGATATTCCCTTGACATAAAGCTGATGAAGGTCTATCACTGTCAAAAAGATGGGGGAGCGCATATGCGTCGGCTCGCCTGAGCCGAAGTGACAGCCAAAATTGGGAGAATGGTCTGTCGAGGTAGACCATGTTTCTCGCTACTGACAAAAACTGGAGGGAGCCAGCCGTAATATCGTGGCTGGCTCTACCCAGTTATTGTCAATCAATGACAGGCCAGGGTCCTCAAGTTATTTGAGGACACTGGGCTGTCATTAAATGACAACAACTGACGGGTGCTCGCTTATCCCCCCCTTTCCTGCCTTTTTTCCCCCCATTTTTGGGGGTGGGGTTCCTTCTTAAAATTCCTTCCAGACTTAAATGGTCTGGTATAGTTTGGGAGGGGGACCCCATGCGGTTTGTTTTTCTTTTGTTTAAATTTTTTTTATTATTCTCTTTTTAAAAAAATATTTTAAGTTTTTTTTACTTTTATTTAAATTCATTTATTTTAAAATATTTTATTTCTTTTGTTTACATTTTTTTTATTCTGCTCGCTACCTTAGAGGTAGCAAGCAGAATAGCCAAGCTACTTACGTACTGCCGTTTGGCCTCTATGAGAATAGGGGCGAACAACAGCGAGTGAACTGCCAGAGCTTTGGCTCAGCCGATCCAGATGCAGAGCATGTTCGGCTGACCGAAGCCAAGCGCTGTACAGCTGATTTTAGCCATTGTACAGCTGTAATCAGCCGTACAGAGCCAAAGTGAACAGCCAAACGCCGTTTGGCTCAGTTCACTTTGGCTGGGTTATTCACTCGACTGCCTTTGGCAGCTTAGTGAATAACCCCCTAAATCTCACAAAAACCATTTGTGGGGTGAATTCACCATTAGGAGTGTTTGTACACATGTGGATTGAAAGAGTAATTAATTTGTCAACTTTTGCCTTTTTTTCAAGGTGATCACAGATGAGCAGGTACTATTTCAGGTGTGATAGCATATATGTGTTTCTGTTCACCTACATTCTTGAACATTAAAAAGGATCCAACAGGATGCTCTTTTAAGGGAAAATTTCTAACAAGTCAAAATATCATGGTGTGCTGTTTGTGAAAGTTTTAATTTATCTAAGTCATGAAATCGCTAGTAGTAGTTAGTTACCGGGTGATCCCAAGAGCCTCCAACTTCTGTAGGTATTGTTATCATACCTAGGAGGTCAGATATTGTCCAAATATGAGTAGTGTTTGAAAATTGGAAGCACTGCTTGCTATTACTTGGCAATTTCTAGCCGGCTGCACAGAAACCTATAATCATAGCCAGCGGAGCTCTGGATAGCCTGCTGTAAACAAACACAGTTCAGAATAAGACAGACAGAACCCTGAATGAGAGTTTATATTAGTTAATGATGACTTTTCAGCAAAGAAAGCATTTATTCTTGAGGTTTGAAAGAAAGAATTTCAAGAATATCTCCTAGTCTTTATTGATGCGTAAACATGATATCATTTAATTGAAATGATTTTGTGATACCATGATTATCCCTCAACAAAGGTGTATTGGTTTAAGGATTTCGGAGTGCCAATGAGTCATGTTTCTCAGCTAAAGAGACAGTACAGCAGAACAGTCCACTTTGAGGCACAATTTGAAACTCTGAACTCAGACGCCAGATATGGGCAGAGTTAATAAGATGAGTTTCTGCCCTGTGTTAACAGAATTCTATAATCAAAGAAGTGAACTGAGATGTTAAAAAAGAGCCTACAGCTCCATCTGCTGACTCAAAAGAATAATTAAAAATGTTGATATGGTATAGTTCACATTTACCTGACAACAAAAAGAAAAAATATTTAAATAGTCTGACCTTAAGAAAAATTAAACTATGCACAGGGTCACTATGTATGCCCTTTAAGTGCAGATATATACATTATATTTTTTAACAGTATATCCTTTTTCAGTCATCTTAAAATATAAGATATTTTGGCAAAAAGTTTGCATTGTCTAATTAGTTACTATACATAATACTTTGAGCCCAAAAACACTTACAGTTTGAATCAATACGTAAATTCCAGGTTCATCAAAACAAAAGTTGTCTTTAGTCTTATAGTACATTTTATTCCATCATAGTTCATTTATATAGCAAGCAGCCACTGCATGTTTTTAAGGACTCTTGATTTCTATAGAAGCAGTGGGCTCTCTGCAAAGGTCTGATACACACCCTCTGTTAAATCAGATCTATAGCTCTGCAATCTGTCAAGCTCATGCTCCCCGCTGATTGGAGAACTCTGGCTTAGCAGGAAGCATGTCTTACATTTGCAGAGAGACTACTGCCTCTACACAGAGATTGTTTCTCTACAGCATGTTGGCAGGGGACATGCTTTTCTACTCAGGCTCTGGCTGCGTTCCAAAGAAAGGGACTGTAAGACTTTGAAAACATTTGTTTTTTTAAAGCATTTGGAAGGTCTTAGCTGATTTAAACTGAAAAACTGTACTGAAATTGCTGAAAATAGAGACTGCAGAAATAGGGAAAAAATTAACCAGGCCCTGAGGGGGGGGGGGGGGGGGGGTGACCTGCAGCAACATCTAGTTTTTTCCTCCCAGCCTGACTGTCCATGGCCTGCCTCTTTCATACATAGCATTTCAGTTCTTTTTATCATCAAGTTTCAGCATCATATGCTAGGACAGTGTGCACACATTTTAACATTTGCATAACTCCTCCCAAGAGCCTGCCCACAGCTTGCATCAGGGCACTGGCCTCTATGCAAAGTGCTGAAATGCTGTTATGTTCTTGGGTAGGTAAGTACAGCACGATGCTGGTCCCTCCCAGCAGGCATGGTCTGCTTCCATTGTGTAAAGAAACAGAGAGACCAAGTGATGTCACTAGGTCAAAACAAGGTATGTAATTAAAAATAGAAATGTTTTATTTCAAAATCTCATTAGCATGTTGATGATGGGGTAAAGGAGGAGCCAAGGAAGGCAAAATATAAGCAGATTAAACATCAGCTTTAAACAATCCTGTTTGCTTTGCAATGAAGACAACCATTGGAGTGTGTTAGCAGAACTTCTGTGATTTTCCCTTTGTTTATTCTAATACAGTAAGATATATTATCTTAATGTATTACAGTACTAAACCATGCAAAAACCAGGGTACTTCCAGAACTCTTTAAACATTATTTTACAAATTCTGTAAACAAAAAATAGTTTCAAAATCATTGGACTGTAAATCCTGGTTGCTTGTCCAAAAAGGAAACCTCTAGTAAAAATTAAAGACTCTTACACTTACTCTTCCTTGAAGAATAGTAAATCTCCCCTCATCCTGGTAACGGCATCAAATCCTAAAGTTGGGTCACATCTTTCCGGCACTGCTGGATTTTTGGGGGCGTCAGTTGGCTTAGGCTTTGGTGTCCTTGTTGGTTTAGGCTTGGGCTTCCTGGTTGGAATAGGTTGAGGAATCACTGTTGGTTTAGGCTTGGGTTTTCTGGTTGGAACAGGCTTAGGAATTACTGTTGGTTTAGGCTTGGGTTTCCTTGTTGGAATAGGTTTAGGAATCACTGTTGGTGTAGGCTGTGGTGACTTTGTTGGATTGGAGTTTGTACTTCTTGCTCCTGTTAGATATTTCACAATAAAGATTTATACACAGGCGAGTATATATGCCTACAAGGGAGGAAGGTGTCTGACGATCATGATGCCTCGTAACTTCTCGGCAAAGTACGGTAGAACAATGGAAATGGTACCACATGGAAGTGTATATATTTATATTCACTTTGACACTAAAGATTATTACATAACTGTAATTTATTGTTCTTTTATTGCAAGGTACATTAGTCAGATCTACACATCATACAGTTACATCCTTGTGAAAGTGTCATTGCTGAACATTTCCAAGGAACAGTTGCGTGATATTTTCCCTCAGAAGCCAAGATGCCTCTAAACTGTATAAACAACGCAAATAACTTCTGCTACATTTGTGGCGAGGTTACATTGGCATCTCAAAAGTGCAGTATGACGGCAGTGGTATAAAAAAGGCGTACCACCTATATTTTGGATGCAAAATAGGGGATCAGGACAAGAGTTGGGCCCCTCATTATTGTTGCGTTACATGTGCAACTTATCTGCGTCATTGGCTAAACAATGCCTAATGTGTAACATATTTTGTATAATTAATGCTACTCCAAGTAGTTCCATAAAATTATGTTTTCCTATTTATCTTGAGTTTGAGGAACTCCAAACATGAGTAGGATTTAATAGATACGTCTGCACTGTATGGTCAATAAACAAGTGTGTGTGCAATATATTAGATTCTAGATATAAGGTATTTTCTGTAGTAAAATATCTGTGATTCAACCACCTGGCCTGGAAAGACATGAAAGAATAGTAGGGCTGTCTTGTACGTGTTAGATAAAATGAAGAAACTCTGTAGACTTAACACATAACAGATATTTCTAGTCTCAAAACTGTGTGTGTTTAAAATGGTGAAGATTCTACATAACTGTAAATAGGTCACGTATGAAAAGCTATTACAGCCCATCAATCCAGGGTTATATTAGAATGATGGCCCTTAAAATTATTTGTATACCTCTGGTGTCATCGGAATATATATGTGTATTTATACTCATATATGTCCGAACTTTGCATTGGGTGGAGAGAGTGTACTTTTAGTTATTTATTTATTAAGCTTCCTTTTTTTTTCCTTGCACATTTTTACTTTTTTGTACTTTACCACAACTGGAAGACTGATATGCCCCACTTGTGATACTTCTGAGGCAGTAACAGATACTTTTCATGTAGATATCCGGGGACGATTAGAACCCTGATGTCTCCTCTGCCTACATCGAGTGCAGATTGGGGGTAGAGAACATCCATGATCTGCTGCTTACCCAGCCACTGTGGCTGTGATTTTGACAGCTGTCACCGATCAATACTCAGAACTGAGTACTTTTGGAAGTCCCTCTGTGCTCAGGAGATTGGGAGCTCTGTCATCTTAAAGATCCCCTGGATCGTTCCTGGGCTCCAAAACAAACAGGTAGTTTAACAATATTGTACCCTTCCAGGTGTCCCATGGATGAATGGTAAGTGAACTCCTGCTTCAGATATTATTGTTGTCTTCATAGTGGTCTATACAATGACAGTTCCTGTTAGATCACAGGAATACTTTTGCTGGTTACAAAATATAAGTCTTGCTACAAAATAACATACCATAGAGAGCTTGGATTCCAGCAATATCATCTGTAAAAAGTTTAAACTTGCTTGGATCCACCGCTCTATCATCTAGTAAGGTTGGGTACATTATGGCACGCTCGTCTTTTGAGTGATCCAGTCCCAGAGTATGCCCCAGCTCATGAAGTGCAACAAGGAATATATTGGTGCCTGCAATAAAAATTGGTTGTTTGTCAAACATTCTAATATTTTCATGTAACCATTACAGTTGTCTGGCATGAGTAGGCATTTTATGCACTTTTATGTGCATAGATTTTCAATATCTTTTTTTGAATGTTATCAAGGTGTTAAAGATCAATTAAACCCTCTGGATTAATGTGGAGGCTGCTCTTTTCTATTTGGATGTGCAGTTGGTGTTGGCTGGTCTTGAGCAATACTACTCAGTGGGGTCTGTTTATAAACAATTTGCAAAGCCCTTTATCCTGTAAAAATCTGTGAATGTTCATTTGGGGTGAATACTGCCAAAAACAAATGTAATATATTTTTCCCTGTTCGAATGTATTGTTCAAATATTCCAATTTAGCAAATAGATGGAGCTTTTCCCTGTTCGAGTGTAGTGTGTTGTAATAATACATTATGGCCACTACATGGAGCAGAGGAGCATGCTCCTTAGTTCCATCTAGTAGCCATAATGTAATATTACAACACTACATTCCAAATGGGAAAAAAATATATTAAGAACATTCACAATTATTCAAGCCAAACGAGCATTTACAGATATTCAGAGAATGAATGGGCCTGCAAATTGTCCATAGACATAATGCCCATCACCTAAGCTGGAAAAATGTTGATATCCACCTAATATTTATGGTTAACATTAGGCTGCTTTTGGGAACTTTCCATTGTTTTGATCTTCACTATTTCTAACATTGTCAGATGACCATGTCAGGGTTCTGCCATCTTGTTTGTGTTAACTAGGAGCACAATATCCTTGGAGTAGCACAGTACCCTGAAGATTACAGCTAGAAATAGAACAAGGTTACTCTCACCTTTACCACTTAGTGTCCATGTTTCATCTTCATCAAAATGAGCATCTCCGCCAATATCTTCACTTGGTGAAAAAGCATGGGCCAAAACTCCAAATGGTCCATCAAATGGAAAGAAATCCCCATGGACTGCAGAGAGATATCAGTCAGTATGTAGCTGTTTTAATTATAAAGATATTATACTCATATGCAGCAGAGGAGACTCTATTTTTGTATTCCTTAAAGCTGAATTCCTGGATTCATGTTGAAGGTGGAACATCCCTCCCCCCCACACCTACACACACACAGACACTTGTCCAATAGGCCCCTGGATAGCAGGAAAAAAAACAACAGGAGTTCTAATCCTTCCCCACGCTATCTATGACTTGACATGCACTTTAATGTTCTGAGGCACAGAGCAGTGACAAGCTTGGGGGGCTCACATAAGGACACTTCTACCATGCAACCACCAACACATACCAAATGAAGGGGCAACTAAAGATGTTAAAATGGAGCTGGGCTGTAAAAAAAATAATTTTCTGATTCAAAATAAATTTCTGAAATGATATAACCTTGGCCAGCTGCCCCTTTAAGTAGCTGGAGCCACACAACCCAGGCATTACTAGTCTCTCTTTTCCCACTGATGATGGACAGGTCTGTACGAGGGATCATGGAGATTGGAGGACTGTGATTGTCTGCAACAGTGATCAGACTTAACCCACAGGACAGGAAGAAGAGGGGAGAGAGACCTGGGAAAAGAGGAAAGAGCAGGGAAGCAGAGCTGCAGGGGATAGGAGAGGGGACCCATGTGAGCACACAAAAAATGCTATCTCGCGCCTGGCCTTCAAAGCTACGTGAGCATCGTGGAGACATCTAGAGATGGAGTGGCTGCCTACAGTCAGGGCTATACAGCCCACCCAGGGAGCGGCCTGAGTTGCATCTGCCTCCATCCAGCCTGTTAGACCATTGTTCCACAGACTGATTGCTGCCAAGAGGACATCTGCACATCATCTAAATGGTGAGAAGACTTTGACTAACCTTGTGTTATTTAACCTGTTTATTACTGCAGGAACCTTTCAGACGCCAGTGGAACTATATTTAAAGAGAATTGCTTCATCCCTTCATCTTTAGTTGCCTTAGGATACTTTGTAAAAGTGTCACCCCCTTAGATTACAAAAACCTTCAAAAACCACCTCCGGCAGGACTTTGCTTTTATTATTCCACTGGCCAGTGGAATGGTAGGGCCTGGGCACAGTAGTTTGGTGTCATTGATACCTGCATTTTATTATGTTTTAGCGATATTTACCTCCATGACTGTTAGCAGTGTTGCTGGTAGAGTCATCCCACTCTCATAAAAGGGCTACTAAACCTAAGTCGCATTCTGTGGCAGAACCATTCGCAGGCAACTAAAGGGAATGAATGTCATTTATTTCACTGTACTTATAATTGTCTTGGTGCTTGATAGCATGTCAGCCCTACCATTGTCAATTCTTTTTAATTAGTGTTTAATTACAGGGTTATTTCAGTCTAAATAAAGCCCACTGTATCACTACTATTTTTGGGGGGTTTTTTTCTAGCCCGTGGACGTGCATCTAAACAAACCTCCCCCTGTGAACAAAAAAAGTAAACCGTGAAATCACAGCACACAAAAACGTGCACAAGGGTGCAAGGTCCTTCCAAAGAAGGGACCTACTTCCCGAACCCCAGGGGCGCAAGGCTCCTGGACAGGGGTTGAGACTGTTGGTCCACCAACCCGAAGGCCAGTGGACCCCGATCCTTTGGGGACCTGCCGCAACAGGTCCCTCACAGTACTAGGCAGGGGGGATCTCCCGAAGAGAAACCCCACTTCTGGGTGGGAGGAGACAGAGAACCCCGTAGGAGGCACAGAATCTCCTCCCAGCATCAGGAATAGGCCCCGAAGAAACCTGCACCTTCCGCATCTGTGGGTCAAAATTTGAAAATAAAAAAGTGCCAAACGTGCATGGAGTGCATAAATAAATCTAAAGTGCCAGTGCACCACGCTGACAGGCCTTAGGGGCCGGAGTGCCAAAATATTGCCCCGGACTAGCCATAAGGCCTGTCCAAGAGGCGTTGTGCAGAAATAAGCAATATGGTGTGTGACCGAGTGCTACAGTGAGTCATGTGGGGTCCCATACCCAAGTGACTTTCTGAGCACCCCTGGGACGCCACCCCCAGGGGGCACAACACCACGGGCTTCTGCCGCCCCCACCAACCCACCAGCCAGACCAAGCTTCGCATCTGTTCAGTCAGAAAGCCATGTACTGAGCTGTTCCCCTCTCACAGGAAGCAGCCCCACACGCTCTTTCACTTCAGCGAGTACTAAGTAACCATCCCCTGCAAGGACGGTTCTTTTCCCCACCGAAAACTGATAAGAACAGATACTACACTTGATCTTAGCCAAAAGGCCGAGAAGCGATCACTGTATCACTACTAGTGTGTCAGTGAATTGTTGGGTCCAGTTAAGGGCAGGCCAGCACTGGAAACAGTAGGAGAACCCAGCATTCCAGCAGCTCATTCCTACACAGAGATAGCAAACATGATGTTAAGCATTTAATTTCCTGTAATAGAATTATTGCTTGTGTTTTCTTTCCTGAAGCTGCAGTGAACTAACTGAGTCTATGGGCCTGGAAGGTTACCGAAACATAACAGTTGTGTATAGCGATCACTCAGTGCTGTGCTTACTATGAATGTGCAAAACTAAATAATCTATCCAATGGCAATGCTTGTAAAAAGTAATTAATAAGATATTGCCATTACCCGTTACACGGGTCCTTCCCTGCACTCACCTTTAGATCCAAAGGAAATCATGATGTCAGCTGTGCCACTGTAAAGCTGCAGAAAGTTCAAAGGTGTGACCTCACTCCATAGTCTCAGAGCATGAGCCACAGCATAATCCACCTCTATTTTAGTGATATCTGGTGTATAATTGACAATTCTAAAAAGAATAAAAACAGATGAAACACATGTAAATGTAAATGACTGTACAATAAAATAAATGGGACAGTAAAGACAGCTTTAACAGTATTTTTCTTTTGAAACATGCATAGTTTATGTGATCATGTAAAATTGTCAGGGCTTTAAAAGGATTTATTTCCTTCATCTACTAACAATAGTTAGATTGAAAAAAAGAAAACATTTCCCTGCAAAACAAATCACACTGTCAAACTATAAAGGTTAAAAACAGAGGTTTTAGTTGCACAACTTTTGCAAAATATGTGGAAGCCGCACAGCCTCGTCAAGGCCTTTCTGTGTAGTGAGGTCCTAACTCTAATCTAGGAGAGCCTCCATCTTGAGAAATATATATATGGTTTTTTTTGGGGGGACGGGGGGTCAACCTGGATGAGAGCTAGAAAGGGGTTCATTTAGGAGGGCAGATACTTCTAGAGGCGCCTCATTTGCCAGTGCTGCTTTGTAAATTTAGGAAACCCTTCTGGGCTCGCTTCTATTTTGCTGGTGCTGCCCCTTTTAATCTGTCATCAAGGAGAGACTTGAGTTAAGTGATTTCAAGCCTCACCTCCGTGATGGGTCAGGAGGGGTGCTGCCGCACAGAAAGAAGAGAGCACAGAAGCGGGTTTAAAGACACTGATCCACCATGGAGGCCTGCCACGCAGCAATACATTTTACAGCAATGCAGAATACCACCAGCTATATAGAGGACTAAAAATCACAGGGTTGAACTCGATGGACTTGCGTCTTTTTTTCAACCTAACTATGTAACTTTGTAACATAAATATATTATAAAGCAATGCAGAATACCCCCAGCTTTAGAGGACTACAAATCCCAGCAATACATTATACAGCAATGCAGAATAATATGAAGCTGCATACACTATGTTGCACCAGGGTGGTGACCTGATGTCTCCATGGTCTCAGGAGGGGTCTCAGGAGGGCTGTGTAGATTCTCAGGAAGGCTGTGTGGATTCTCAGGTGGGTTGTGCGGAGTCTTAGGATGGTTGTGCGAGGTCTCAGGATGGCTGTGCGGGGTCGCAGGTAGGCTGTGGGGAGTTTCAGGTGGGCTGTGCAGAGACTCTGGTGGGCTGTGGGGGTCTCATGTGGCCTGTGGGGGTCTCAGGTGGGCTGTGCAGAGTCTCAGGTGGGACTACTTGTCCAAGGACTAAAGTGGGGGCTCAATCTACTTGTCCCCCATTACCATCTACTTGTCATGATACAAAAAAATAATTTTAACCAAAACCGTATTTAACAGTGCTAAGACGCGCTTCTAAAATTCAAAATCCATAGTGCAGGACTGCACTGGATGGCAGTATGGGGTACAGATAGTAACCCGTACCAGCGAAAGGTAAGTATAGCAGCAGGGGGGAGGGGGGTCAGATTTTAGCAGGTAATTCCATTTCCCAAAATTACTTGGGAAAGTGAACTTACCCTTTAATGCACATTGTGCGTGTTAGAGAGCACTGCTGCCCAGCTACCACAATATCGCAACTGTGCATGTGTTTATATGCATGCAGATGGAGGGGGCAGTGGAGTTGGTTTGAATTTTGTAAAATTTATCTTAATATTTTTTACTTTTTTTTTTTTTTTGAGCATGTCATTTTTATTGATCTTTCAATGAACACATAACAAGAGCGTTCAAAGTAAAATAAGAGGATACAGTATTATAGTAATGGAGGTACATACACAGTAAGCATTAAGTATTCGGCTATGTAAATAAATTCAGAGCATTTAAGAATGCAAGAGTCAGTGTGACAAGTTTACATCCCTTTCCGTGCACGTACCTATAGTAATAAGCTTAGGATTCAAGTCAACTTTACAATAACAGAACAAAACATAAAGAAAACTAATATCACTACATGGATTACGAGAAAGCATGGCAAGTAATATTGCTAATACCTGCATTAGCAGATGTTCCATATATTCGGAGTATACCAATTTCATGTAGGACAAATCGAATGTTTAAATTTTTTTATCAATTCTTTTTCATTTTTATTTATTTAATTTTTTTTACTTATTGTCACTTAACTTTACTTCTATCACACCGGGACTAACAAGCCCCTGTGTGATAGCTTTCGGAGGTCACACATGTGTGCTCTACCTTCTGTAGAAAAAAATACAAGTGATCTGAGTGGCTCTACAGCTGCAAATCACTTGTACAAAATGGCTCCCCCACTCTACATTTAGCCCTGCTTGCCAGAAGCAGGGCTAAATGTAGAAAAATAACCTGCCCGTTGCCCGGAAACTGCATGCCCTGGGTATCAGGCGATAGGAATTCCACACCCCTGCAGTAGCGCCCCTTCAGACCCCCCCCATCCCCAACTCGCTACGCCACTGGATACTTCCTCTACAGCTATTGCTTTTAAAAAGGTAACACAGGTGAGAGAGTGTGGAGCAGAAAGAGCCAGAAAGAGAAATCTGTGTGTGTGGCTGCTCAGAAGCAGATGGAGTTGTCTAGGAGAGACCACCAAAACGCACAAGGCTGTGCAATATTGTTAGGTGACTTTTGCTTTGTATTTTCTGTAATTTTAGGCTCCTATGCACTTACCATTTACTGTCATTACAATAACACTTGTGCCATATTAAAGCTGAAATTCGGGCTAAAAGCATTCTCTGAATACAGAAGCCAGGTGTATTTTTACTTGAATATTGGTCTCCTCTAAGTATTTTTTCAGATCTGTGCAGTATTCCAGCATTGTACAACTCCTGCACTTTCCTTCTGGGCAGGTATTTCCTGCAGTAAAGACCAACCACTGCTGCTCTCTCTCGTTGTGCAGGGTGAATGGTCTTGTACCCGCCCCCTCCTGTAGCTTTCTGCAGACAGCTTGTATTAGGAGGACCTGCTCGATAAGTCTCATACCTCTGCTCTCTGCTCAGGCTATATGTGGCACAGTGATGATACGACTTTTTTTACAAAGTAATATCCATGTTTGCAAATGCATTTTGGTGCACACAAAGTGGATTCATATTCTTTGTGGCTACTAAGGAATATATTTAGATTAAAGTATTTCTGCCCGGAGTTTAGTTTTCCATTATAGCTGGGGGTTTGGTTGAGTGATGCAAGCCCAATAGTTAGGTTATATATAGGGAAAGTTTGCATATTTTGGTTTCAGCAAACGGGAGCCCGTCCTTCTGCTCCATGGTCTCTTGCAATAGACGGAGTCGTCGTGCCACCACCCTACCTGTAGGTAAGCGTTGTCTTCTCCCACTTTGGTTTTCCTGAAAAGTGGCTGAACCTGTGTACATCTGGCACTCCACACCGGGGTTTCAGCATAACCTTCAAGGTTTCCTTGTCTATTTTACCAGTGACATTAAGGCCAAAAAAAGACTGCATGGCCCTGATTTTTTCCTCCACTGGATTGGACATTTTTTTTCTCACAGGAACATTACTGTAAAACTGATCTATGTACTCCTAAAAAAACAAACCAAAACAACATGCATTTGAAATCTCTCATTTAAATGTTAAGAATATATAATTATATATTATCAAAAGAACTTTTCTGCGATTAATGTTCTTACATCCTTAAGTAATAGACATAAATGGGGCCATCTTTATCACACAATCCCCCCTCCAAGTTGACAACAAAAACGATCAGATTTATATCTCATGCCTATGTTAGGTATTCATGGGAGGTAATACATTTGACTAAAGAAAACCACCAGATTAAGACACAATTGATACAAAGCAGAAAACTTAAAGTGACAATAAAGACAAAAAAAAAAATCCCTCCCCCAATGTTAATGTTAGCACTTACCTTAAATGATGTCTCTTAATCTGATCTTCTTCTTCTTTCCTGATGTTTTCATCTGTCCCTCCAGCGGTGCGGCGGCTCTCCGATCCAGCGCTGACTCCTCTGTCCTTGCTGGCACTTCCTGTCCCACGGTGTCTGCATGCGGGTGCACGCATCCATAGACTTACCTTGTGTCTCTGCTCGTCTCCCGGCCGAAAATCCGAACTGCGCATGTGCCCCGCCCCAAGGTGCTTTGCGGCCGCCAGAGCAGTTTCGGATTCTCGGACGGGAGCGCGTGTCGAAGACGGGGTAAGTTTAAACTGCTGTTAAAGCGTTTTTTTTGTTTTATAAGAAAACTTTTTGAATATATCTACTGCTTGCTAGCTGTAGTTCTATGCAAAAAAAACCAGAGGGTTTAGAAGCCCTTTAATGGAATGCAGCGTGTCATAAAAATCTCCTCTGGCAGGGTCTGCAGAGTCTCTTAATGTTCATAAATAGCTATAAAACAGTCTAGAGAATAATTTGTGCAATTCTGGTCTGTTTCTTTTTTTAAATACTAAAGCCCAACTCTGGTTAATATGCAATCATTTTTAAAATATGGTTGCACTAATGTATACTCAAAAACAATCAGTTAGACAGCAAACACACCTATATTACAAGAAGCAGAAGGCTATTGGAGCACATTAAATCTCTAAAGCTATCTCCTATGCATCTGATTTATATTTGGACTCTAAGAAATCAGCACATCTTGTAAGATGAAAATATAGAAGCATTTAGAGAAACTTGCATTAGGATTGTGCCTGCTGAACAACATAACATGCTGAACAATTTGCCGGGGGCAGGTCTGGTACCTTTGACAGTGGCTGACCACTCCTCCGTTGCTGCCTAATGGCTGTTACACTTTTACTGTCAGTGGTTTTTGTAACTCTAGATCCATGCATCTTGATGATTGCTGCACACATGGCTGGTAATAGAACTTTTCCAATATATGCACTGTTTATCTATTTACCTGCATTCTTGTTGCCAAGATTACTGTATTTTGAATGTTTTTGGAGGGAATGTGATGTCATGATGATGTCAGTGAGACTTTTGGATTGGTTCACAATCACTGTTGGTGTGTATATAGATTCCTGTGTTTCACTTGCATTTATCCCTTGTTTGCCTGATGAAGGGGATCCCGTGAGACCCCAAAACGTTTGTCTAGTACGTTATTAAACATGTACTGAACTTGCTTTGGAGTGCTGGTGTCGATCCTTTACTTATATTTTGTCGGAAGCCACCCGCTGACACCTGCTGCACCCACTTTCCATTTTTGTAGCAGCGGCTTTGAGTGCGATGGGTGCACAGACTGTATGCTGAACAACATAAAACACTTCAAACCCCTTAGGCATACCCCTCAGACCCTTTGATTGGTTGTGTTATGTCTGTATGCCCTCTACAGGGACCAGAAAAGATGGCTGCATTTGCAGCTCAGTAGCTCTCGCTTACCATTGAAATGGTGACGGAATGCAAAGGTTCATTTACGAGAACCACTGAGATTACTCTTATATATCGGATTGGACTTACTTTGTACGGAACCAAGATCAGGCAAACATTGCTAAGTACATTTGACTTCCAATTCCGTTTGTTTAACTGTTGCCAATAGTCTGCTTTGCAATATATTTTCTGTAAATATTTTCTTGCATTTCTTTTTCTTTTCATTAACATTATATTTTAAAATCTGAAAAGCTGAACCTCTGATTGCGCTAATCAGAAATTAAAGAATCTTTGCCTCTGTGAGGGCTACAATATTTTAAAACTCTGTCACAATCCTGTCTGGGTGTGGCAGCAAATGGCACAGACATTTCTTAGAATCGCAAAAGCAGATGCAGGAAAAGTGTGTGTTTCCGTTAAAACATGCAATGTTGGCTACCATGTGTATGTATAATGATGGTTAACTGCAGAGTTAACTGCCCACTGATGATCCCTCCCAGTCTTCTCGTGCTTAGATTGTTTTCTATCGAGCAGCAAAATCTCTGCACAGTGCAGAGTGCAATATGTCACAATCAGGACAAATAGAGAGGATGAATTTCCCAAGCGAGGGCACAGAAAGCTATTAAACTTGGAAGGACAGGTACACTCTTATCATTCATTGCAGTCCAAAGAACGCAAGTTTTGGCTTTAGGTAAACTTTAAGGTTTTGTATAACACAAACAATGTTGTCAGTGCTGGTTATAGCATTACTATCCAATATACATATAAACACTGTGGTATAGTCCCCACACTGAGGGGGGGAATTTATCAAAACTGGAGCAGACAGAATCTAGAGCAGTTGTTCATAGTAACCAATCAGCTTCTCTATTCAGTTTGTTCAGTTAAACTTAAACTGAAAATTAAAGAGAATATGGTTTTGATGAGAAGCTCCAGATTTTGTGTGCTCTAATTTTGATAAATTTCCCTCTGTGTATCATGAACAATTATATTTTTTTTCTCAAATAAGATTTTATTTCATTTTAAACATTCATATAAGACAATTCTTCATAAATCACACAAAACAAAGTAATATTCAATACTCATGGCTGATGGTAAATCCAGATATCTTACATATCCACAAAATGTGCTGTCTTCATGTCATTTTCAGTGATGTCACTGGTAGATACATCTTCAATCACTGATTCTACCCATTCATCAGGTCCGAATAGGTCTTCATCTACTGGAACAAGCTCAACCTCATAGACTTTTATCAACAGAATTGGGATGAGAACCTGGAACAGAACCATCTTGCACCCTCTGCTCTGTCCCTCCGTTTTGTCTTTTTTTGGGAAAGCGTTTATTTTTTAACATACTGTGTAGCGTGTTGAAGCGCCATCCGAAATGTAAACATTGACATGGCTTGTTTAATGTTTTGCTCCTCGTGTAAGCTTGTTCTCATGCAAATGACAGACCGCCCCCCCAGGCTAACATTCTTCCACCTTTGTTCGGAACTCTCAGAGGCCTCAAGGCAAACATTCTCCACGTGTAGCTAAATCAGAAAAACCTGTCTGATGATTATCAGGCTGGTACGGAGATGGAAGCGATTAAAAGCATCGCCCCCAGGCATGAAATGGCTTGTGCTCAACTCTTTAAAAGTAAACAGTGACGCAACTTTCTTTTAAGGAAACATATTCCTGGAATGCCTTGGATAAGGAAAACACAGGAGACAGGTGATAGATTGCAACATAATGACCATACACTTCTGTAGACCTAAAAAAACAAAAACATACCATGTTGTAGAGGGCATAAAGGGACACTGGGGCTGGGTGGAGATGATACTTCTAGAGCCTAAAGTCATATTAAAGACAAATGTTTTTAAGCTATTTCAAATGCTGATGAAATTACTGATAATGGATGCTGCTCCTTAATGTTTAAAAGTTTTTAGTTTCCTGCAGAATCAACTGGTCCCCTAAGCACTGGCCCTGATATCCTGTTTTAGGGTGGCTCTTTTACCTTACCTGTGCTAGTAAGCTGTATGTGTCTCCACAGAAACAGCAAGACAAGACACTCCCCTAAGGACTGCAGGTGCTCTGAGCTGGGGCACAAACACATTCTATTTTTAATATTCAGACTCAGACCCCCTTATTGTCACACCCTCCTCCCTGCATCCACCTCCTCCCTTCTTCAAGCTAGTAGATGGACAGCTGCTGAAGACTGATCTTGTACTGGACGGGAAGTTGAGGGAAGCCGAGCTAAAAGAGTTGGAGTTGTTTGGAAACATGATGACTGTAAGTGCTTGGGGTGAAAATATAAAGAAATACTTTGCAGGGCGATGTGTATTTGTATTCACATTCATATATGGCCAGTACATGGGGCCGAGGAGCACATGGAAATTCCCATGCTCCTTGACACCATCTAGTGGGTCTATTGATAAAACAGTTCTGCAATTGTTTTAATACTATAGCCCTTTAAGTTCTATATGTATCATCTCCCACCAGTCCTAGTGTCCCTTTGTATCCTCTACAACGTTGTATAAATACACCCCAAAGTCTATTTCCACTTAAGCGGTCAAATTTGAGAAAACCCCTCTTTTTTGTGTTCCCATTCATACAGCTTACCTAAAACATATTTTAAAAATATATATATTTCTTACATTTAGATATCTCTGTGCAGCAGGCCTTTGGGCAGAGGGCAAGCTTCTCTATACAATTTCAAAGTGACAGGAAACTCTGGCTGTCCCCATAAGAAGGCTAGAGACACTCTGAGCTTCCTCTCATTACGATGCAATGCTTCTAGAACATTAAAGACTAATTCCATGTTTCATGTTGCACCCATAATCAGGGTGTAACATAAAACATGATCACATCCGCAGCCCCACTTCCATAAACCCCCCCACCTTACCAGAATCCTGGGGTTCTTCACATAGTGGTACACTCATCCCTGAAGAGAATTTTTAATATTCTAGCACCACCTATCTGTATTTGTATATTTGACCACGGCTGTGTGTACTTATGTTTGGTATATAGAGGGAAGCATATATTTAAAACATTTTCTTCTATTGAGACAAATACATAGCGCTAATAGTTTTATTTTGAGGTTGAGAGAGAAGTATTATAATTGACCAATAGATGGGAATTGAGAATGCTGCAATACATGTCTAATAGGTGGTGTAAAAAAAATTATTCTAAGATATTCCAAGGATAAGAAAACATCGGGGGTGTCCATTGTGGCTAATCTCTGAAAACAAAGGAAGTCACAATCCTTAATTACATTTTTTATATTTTACTTTTATTTATTTATTTTTATTAAATCATTTTTTTTTTACTTTTTTGTTGGGGGCTTCGGGAAAATATTAGGGGTGTAAACAGAGTCCTCAATCTCTTTTTTTGCATCCCCTGTTATAAATGAACAGGAATCCTCTTTGAGTGTTCCTGTTCATTCATAACTTAAGGACATATTATGTTTACTGTGTCCACAATTATGAATGAACAGGTAGTGATGTAGATCACTCCCATTCATTCATAATTGGGGACACAGTAAACATAATATGTGCTCAATTATTTACAAACACTCAGCGATCACTGAATACTTGTACCCGCTCTCCATCCTGGATTGCCTGTCATGGGAGGCTGGGCAGGCGTTGCGGGAGGAGAGCTCGATATGACAGATGACTCTTCTTCCACAACGCCGGCTGGCCTCCTGTCACAGCTGTCTCCGCCCCCACACCACCGCTCTCCCGATCTGTCACAGGAGACTGAGCGGTGCGGGAGATAAGACGCTGGCCGCTCACAGCACTCTCCATCTCCCGCATCACTCGGCCTTCTGCAACAGTTTCTTTCCTCCCTGCTGGGACACAGTACAGTGCCCATCGGGGAGGAGAAAGAACACAGATGCAACGCTATTTCGGGCCAAAAATTGCACTTTCGGCATTTTGACAAAAGTGCCATTTTCGCCCGATATCTTTTGGAGGCC